GTATGAGTAAAGTATGGCGTAGTGTGGGTGTGACTGTGGGTGAGATGTGGGTGAGGTGTGGGTGTGACTGTGGGTGAGGTGTGGGGTAGTGTGAGTGTGAGTGGTGAAGAAAGAGACATCCACACCCCATACCCTCTGCTCAGCACTACGTCATACTACTCAGCACTATGACATCTTGCTCATCGCCACTCCATACCGCTGGGCACTATGACGTCCTGCTGAGCACTATAACGTCTTGCTCAGCACTACGATATCTAGCAACGAATTTTGAAAAATTAGGTTTTTTATTTTAGGGTCAATGCGGCCATAAGCCGAAAGTCCACAAGGAATTTCGGCTCGACCCATAAAATCACAGGAATTTCGGACTGGACCGAAAGTCTGGGCCGAAATTCATGAAACCCAATCAAGGATGCAACTATCATACCAAATACTGGTCTAAAACGTGGTTTTCGGCATTCTATCGAAGCTGAAATAGGAAGTACAGTTTCATATTTAGCGAATCAAATAGTATTTTTCCGTGACCATCCAGCTGAGTTATTCAAGTTCAGTCACAGACATGATTCACGTAGTGGAGGAGATCATTAGAAGAAATACAGGCATAGTATCCATTTTCGCTTTTTCATGGCTTTTGGCAAACGTTTTTTTTTTTGCTCATAATAGATTGAAACATATGCCATTCGATAGAGCTTCTCGAGCTGCATCGAACGAGTTGTCACTTCAGTAGATCATATTATGAAGCGAATCGTTGGAGCGAATACCGTTTGAAAAACTTGTTGCGGGTACTCCAGAACTTCTAGACAAGAAGTATTTGCTTTCAATCAAATGAAGCATACACCAATCGACAGAGCTTGTTGAGTTGCATCTGGCTCACTGCATTCCTCTATTGTGTCAGTGAGTGGGACAAATCGATTTTGAAAAAATTCGATTCGGCTGCTAACTTCTGTTACATGAGTGATCAAGAGAATCTATCGAACATAACTATATTTAAAAAGTATTGTTATACAGTGTATCAGTTAGTCTGATTCACGATTTTTCAATTTAATCAGAACTATAAGGGCCCGTTCATTAGTCATTTGATCAGCTTTTTGCCGTGTTCGACACTTTCTCTTCTCCTTGTGGTCATAGGTGATTATCTGAGGACTGCTATCCCTGATTATGTGGTCCAATGTCTACTCTCTCATCCCCAGAAAAAATGTTCCGTCGAAAATATCGATTTCTTGCAGTAATTTTCCAAGTTGAACACTCGTTTCTTTTGTCAAACATGGCATCATTTTTCAGGTTTTCGTTGAACAATAATCAATCATGTTTCTAAGCTGAGTATCTGCTAAAGGGATGCTAAAATTTTTCATTACGAAATTAATTCCTAATTCAGCGCCTTTTCTTATATCTTTGTTGTTCGACATCTTATTGGCTATGACGTTGCTTCTTTTTGGCATCTGTGCCATGTATTAAAAAGAAGAATATATAGACTTCCAGCGGCTAAAGACACCTCGTGTTCAACAACTAACAACCAATCCTCCGAGTGTATGGGAACGGTTTTCATGAAAAAGGTCCCAATGGTCTATATTCATTGATGAAGTCTTCATATGATAATATCGAAGATAAGTCTGAGTTCATACACTCACAGCTCCTACTTTATAGACAGTAACTTAAAGGCATCACCTAAGCTTTGCGAATTCGAATTTCCATCTTAATCCGTTACGTCTTCGTCTCCAAGCGCTTAGTAATCAAAACGAACAATCATGTTTCTCGAGTATTTGATGAAGCAAGATGGCTATCATCAAATACGATAAGGTGTATCTTGTATTTATTTACATCGTTAATGGCGACAAGAATAAAACACTCCACAAGTTGACAAGGAAAAGTGACTATCCTTTGAGGACGTTTCTTTATTTTCAGTGGCTGCAATGCAGTTTATTGTTATTCTTCTGTATGGTGCTGTATAAATTACTCGAGACTCAGAAAATCGGACTCTAATGAATCTTTAATCTCACTCGAAAGATTTATAACTTTGGACTCTCATCATACATAAACGATATTTATTAAAAAGCAATATTTGTTTCGATTTCGTTAGTCAGTAACTGGATTTAGAAGTGAACAATATCTGTTCGAAACCAAATAGATTGATCTCCTAAGAAATGTTACCAATTTCCTCAAGAAAATTTGTGGAAGAGATGTAATACATTGCGTATAAAATTTAGCTTGATAACTTATATGTATTCCTGCATCTATAAGGCTAGCGGACGGTCCTAGCTCAGATTCATCATTTCATCAAAGTTAAATGTTATTCGTTAATAATACAAAGAGTAGAAAATACTACCACAACATTAGGTTTATCGAGAACTACGAAAAATCTAAAACATATTAAGAAATGTTCGAAATCTAACTATTTCATCTATCCTACTGAAGCGGATATCTACTAGAGAAGTGAAGTACATGGTAATACACTGCGTTAAGAAATCAGCCTTCCATTCCAGGCAGGCTCACAGCTGTTGTGCCAAATGATTTCTGCTTCACCAGGATGACTATAAAGTTTCGGTATACTTCGCTGTTATTCGTCGTACATATCGGTATGTTTTTTGTAAGTGTTATTAAATCATAGAGATCGAAGAGAAACTAATCATCCAGTGTTAGATTGTGCCACTTTGTTTTTCTTGCTCGCTGGCATAAACATGTAAATATGTTTTTTTATGGTAGCTCAAGCGAACGAATATTAAAAGAACGCAAGAATTACATCATTTTAACGTTGATCTTTACTGTTTCTTTCTTTCTTTTTATTGCTTTAGTTCACCGATACTCTTTTTAAGGTTTCTCGATAACACGTCGTGAAACGAAACGAAGCCCTTTCAAGACACCTTGCTTCACTTAGTTCAGGACGAAGCTAGGCGAGGTATGGTTTCAGAATGATCGTTCGCAGCATAAAAGGTTCGAGAGAAAGTGAAGCGAGTTGGCAAATACAGCCTTGACAAAGGTTTCTTCACAGAAGCGCTAATAAATGTTATTTACAAAATTGAAATTAAACTTATGTTAATGGATATTTAGTATCAATAAATGACACGTACTCAGGCATTTTCGACGAGAAAGAAGGACCAGCTTCCTAAGTAGGGATAAACTATGATGAAAACCTCTTTTCGCTTTGAGAAAATTTAGTTCAGTATAAGCTTCGATTTGGGGAATGTATAGTAGTAGAGCTAATTGTTTAGTCTGCTTAAGAATTAGAGAGCTTACAAAGATTGTATACCTTATTTTGTCATCGTGGCACGAATGAATTAACCCTTTGGTTACGGGATTATTCAAGGAACATGAAAGTTTTGATTTTTATGAAAAATGCTTAAAATAGGATATGTCCATGTATGATAAGACTATATAATGATTCTGTGATTTTGGTAGTCTCAGAGCACTTTTGTAATCTGAATAAGTGGTAGAATTCTACAAGATAGCTCTCCTTTCAGCATTAGCCGGTAATGGTCATGAATACAATCAGGGAAGAGTTAGGGTATCACAATTACCGTACTTGCTGCGATAGCATTTTAGGTGATGTCTCAGGAGTGCCGTGTTATGCCTCATGAGTAAATGTCTTCTGGTTTATGCATAAAGTATTTTTCCTTAGTAGCACTCTGCATTGTA